TGTGCCCAGTGTCAGCTATTGATCATAGCCCAAGGAACACACAGATCTCAAACACCTACTCATATCCACTCATCACTCCTGAGAATAAAGGAAAGATAGCAACCAAATCTTTAGTGAGGCTGAATGAAAATCTTAACTGGATCGATTTGTGTGCTTTTCAGTGTGGGACTAGGAGGTGGGGGTTGGTGGGGGGGGGGGGGGGGGCTTGTCCCCGTTGTGAAGTACTGATGAATCTGCCTCCAAACTGGCTGCAAGCCAGTATCACTGAAGAGTGAATTTCTCTACTCACGAGGGACCACTTCCCCTTCCCCAAAAACAACTTGCTTATGTCCCACACTTTCACAAGCTCTCTCTCTTCATCTTGTGCTTCCTCTCTTCGCTTTTAAATATTTAAGATGAACAAAATCTAAAAATCTTAATTAAATAATAATAAACAGCATTTTGAGGATAAATACATTTTAAGACAACTAAAATTGGGATTTAAGCTGTAAAAATATCTACATTTAAGAAATCTTTTTTTTTCAAAGATGTTGAAAACAATAACAGAGTGTAGTGATATTTCTCATGAGCATTTTAGTTTAATATTCTAAAATTGTTTTGTAAACATGGAAATATAGGGAATTAAATCATTAACATTAAAACTAATGTAACACAGAAACCGCTATAAACAACATGTATATTGAAAGCCATAACTGTAGAATATTGATTAATACACTAATTATATAATGACTTAAATGGAATGAGAAATATTGAATCTCTTCTTTTTTTCAGGGTAGAAAAAAAAGAATAGTTACAACAACTCGCATTTACAGTAGGAATGTAGGCAGAGGTCGTGTAGGCAGCACAATAACTGGCATGTATCGCTTGTGTACAGGCATGACAAACACATATTCACACACACTCAAAGAGTACAGAACTCTCGTATACAGTCGCCAAACATCTCTCGGTCGTTTCTCTCTCATCTGCTCATCACCTCTACATGCATCTTTTTGTAACTCTTGACTTCCACAATAAAACACGCCAGCAAGCACTCTCGCTTTACAACAAAAATAGAGAAAAAGTTTACCACTTTTTCTCTGATCCTCTCCCCACCCTCTCTGCTTCCTTCACATTCCAGTTTCTCCTTGAAAACATTAAGAGGCAGTCTGTCGGGGAAAGCGAGAGGAATTAGGAAAGAAAGCATCCCTGAGCCAGGTGAGATTACTCCCCTCAACTGACTCCATTACTTAACAGGGTCAGTAGTTAGAGGAGCCAGATCCGTTCAGCACAAAGACCACGGAACCAGCAGCCTCTTTTCTGTACAGTGGCGCAATATTTCGGTGTGCTGACTCCAAAGATGGTCTTTGAAATGAAACTGTTGAATTAGTTGAATTAGTCCCTATTTATTTATTTTCCAACATATTTTCAACTTGCCTTGGGTTTGACAATGATCCTGCAAACAGGCATCTTCCTGTCACCAAAGGTTGAAACAGTCACGCTTCCTGTGACTGCTCCGTCCATTTTAGTCAGCACTAGCTGCACCGATCGCGTTGGCACTGCCCTGGGCTCTGCTCTATCTGCCGAGAAAAGATGGTGGGTGTCTCCCTAACCACATATCCTCTTTCACTCTCCTCTTCTCCACTCCACCCTTCTCTTTCTCTCAACCAAGGCCAGCCAAGAGTCGTTTCATCTCGCACCCACACACACATGCAGCACAGAGAGGGGAAAAAGGAAAACAGACACTTCACTATAATCACATGTACACACGCTCCAGTACATGCACGCACACAGCCTACACCTGATCCCCAAAAAGAAAGAAAGAAAGAAAGAAAGAAAGAAAGAAAGAAAGAAAGAAAGAAAGAAAGAAAGAAAGAAAGAAAGAAAGAAAGAAAGAAAGAACACATGATAGGCTACAGAAGATCGCAAAATGAACTGAGCTTCAAATCAATCAATATAAAAATAAAAATAAAAAAAATATTAAAAAATGTAATAAATGTGGTTCATTTGCCAGGGTCTGAAAGGGGTCTTTTTTATTTGTTACATTAGAGAAGATGTTTAATAAATAGATAAATAAATAAGAGCCCCATAAACCGCATTCAACTCATTATTATTGTAGGATCTGTTCCCGTGTTCAGTTTTCAGACCTCAAAATACAATACAATATAAATGTTCTTTAACATTTAAAATAGTTACTAAATTAAATTAAAGCAACTGTATAGCCTAATCGGACGAATATAATTTTAAAGGCTGTTTTTCCCTTTAATATGTTTCTAATTAGCCTACCTTTATCCCACTATAAGTTTCTGTTTAGCAGTCTTGTCGCACCCGCAACCGGCAGATTTTTAGTTTTTACATCTTTCAGTCAAGATTTTCAAAATTCAATATTCCTTATTTAAAATTAACGAAATTATATTACAGTAGGCTTTTTAACTTTTTGGTCTGGCGATGAAATTAATTTGCAAAACAAGACTGAAGATGGCAGCTAATCGTTTTGCGGAAAATCTGCAACTTTCAGTGTCATTCGTTTTCAAATTATTATTATATTGTTTTTATTAATAAAAATAACAATAATAATAAAGAATATAACATCAATAATAACAATAATGTTTTTGCCGTTGCATTTTTATTTTACGTTATTTGGGCCTAATCGAACGTTAAAGGTTTTATGAAAAAATCATCTACAATATAAAGTAATGTTACATTTATATTTATTTAAAAAAAGGCATTTATAGAATATATAACGGGGTGGTGCGGGAAGGAGCAAGTGGTACAGACATGAGAGGATGCTGAGAAGCCTCAGAGAGAGTGATGAAGTTCGCCTGCACCACCGCCTTTCAGAGTTTCCACGGGAGAAAAGATCAGATTCAGCACCTGAAAAAGGTTTGCGATGTGAACTGATCACAGCCCTGTTTCAGCAACGCGCATCAAAAGAATTACATCAAATGAATAACCTTTAAGTGCTCGTTCGTAGTGCAGCCGATTAGTCAAGATCGAGCAATTGGAACCCATTAATAACCAAACCCAGATTAACAATTATAGGCTAATGCATAAAATAAACCCTAGCACAGGGATCCAGGATCCAGAATATTTTATTATGTGGGTTTGATATTAATATCGACAATTGCACGTGGTCAGCAGTGCACAGGTGTAGGCTACCTTTAATAAAAAAAAATAATAATAATAACGGATCGGATCGGATATTAATTGATGATTAAGATGTCGTGATATTCTTGTTAACAGTAGCCTACATATAAAGCAGAAATTAATTTAGAAATGTATGTTAAATTACACGCTCGAAAAGGCTTTCAGTCGCTCTTTAGAAGAAAAAAAAATAGGCTACATTTGAAAAAAAATAGCCTACACATATGGAAAAATACATATTTGAGGGGGAAAAATGTATTACATTCGTAATAAAAGAACATAAAAATACCAGTGTCAAGCTTCTCGCCATCTGTGAGAAGCATAATATTTTATTATTGATTATGATTATGAACATGATTATGATATTCTTTTGCTCTAAAAAAAAAAAAAATCTTTCTTTTATATTTATAACTCAAAAAGGATCGGATGCACAACATTTGCATTATGATATTTGTTTAAGTAGCACAACTGCATCCGAAGAGCTGAGAAAATGTTGTCCTGACAAAATAACTGATAGCAGCCAGATTACACTCATTAGCCTAATGTCCATTACATAAGATACTCTCTTAATAAAATAATCATATCCAACGATTATTGAGTGATTTAGAGTCGAATTCAAACAAACTGCATTTGACGTAGCCTATGTCACTCATATTTCATGTCAAGGATAAACGGTTTAAACACGTTTTTAACAAACGTTCAAAGGCGCGTCTAAATGCACGAAAGTAAATCACTTTATTTTGAGAACTTTACATAGTTATTCAACGCGTAAAGTCCATTCAGAATGTCATTTAACTTTCCAGAAGAACCCTTCCATGCTTCATAGTGTTTTCGTGAATGATTGAAGCGCAGGACTGAATCCACCTGCGCCGGAGCTCCGATGCGCCAAACAGCTAAACGCGCGTCTGAATAGGCTGCCATTCAAATCTTTATTCTCACTCAGATTCAAAATTTCTAAGTCAACTAGACCCGCGCAGAGAAAATGTATTAGCCTTTTAAAAATAAATAACATATCATAATTTGGAGAAATATCGTTTAAACTAAACGAAAAAATAAATATATAATTTCAAAGACAAATTGGTTATCCATATTTTTACGTGTTCAATTTTAACCGATGCGCATCGCAGTGTTGCAAATAAAGAGAGCTGAGTATGAAAATTAAAGAAAAAAAAAGTTTCTGAGGAATCTTGAAAGATATGTGGATGGACCCCCATTGTTGACCAAAGGGAGTCCAGGGGCCTGCGATCGTATCAGCGTGTGCATGGCACAGAGAAACCAGCCCTGATGATTAATGTTCTGCTCACCATCTCTCCCTCCACAGACCCCAAGCCCCCTCCCATAAACATTCTGTCCTGATAAAAGCATTAAGCACAGAAACTTTAAAATAACTACACAATGTTAAAGAGCTGTAGATTTTACATAGCTGGGGAAATCGGAAGTACTTTTACAAGTTGATGATGTTAAGAACTCCAGCAACAATCAGATGAAGTTAATTAGATATGTGCCACAGCCTGATCTACAAAAGGTCACCAAAACAAAACCTCACAGTCCAGACTGACCAGATGCACATTATTCACTAATGCAATTAATAAGAGTAATTTCTCTTCAACACTCAGAAACTTTAAAACGAAGGCTGCAATTTGTGACAACAGGCACCAGCCACTAAACCAACCAAAGAAGTTAAGCAAAACATAGTTTACACAGTAGCGAGCGTTAAAATAACTAACACCAACCAAAACATTTTTTACGTTCACATTTATACGCTAAAAAAAAAAAATCAAATGAAAATCATGCTCACGCTCAAACACACACTTAACAGCTGCACAGAGATGAAGCAGACACAGTGTCACACTGAGCGAGAGGGACAGCATCCCACTGACCTGCTGGGACATTCTGAAAAGGAGGTTGCTGTCAGTGCTCTGCTGTGTCCATGTCCCCATGAAGCCCGGCTCGGCGCTGGCCGGTCTGGTGCTGAACTGCATGGAGCTTTCTCCTTCTCCTCCTCCTCCCCCTGCACCGCTGCTGCTGCTCCTGCTCCTGCTGCTGGCTCTGGCCGTGGACTTGCGTGCCCTCTCTCGATCTTGTTCTCTCCACACCACACCGCCTCTCACATCCAACTCTGTCTCCTCAGACTGCCGGCAGAAAAGAGGGGGAAGGGGGGTGGGGGGGGCGGATAGGGGAACCGGAGAGAAAAGTAAGAGAAGGTGGAGGTTCAAAGAGGCAAAGGGTGACTACTCTGTTCTTTTTTTCTCTTCTGCCCTATTCTTGTTCTCTTTTTTCTCTTTCTTTCTTTTCCTTCTCTCTCTCTCTCTCTCTCTCTCTCTCTCTCAGTGCTATCTTCTCTTGAGAGAGGGGTGAAAGTGGAGGGTCTTGACTGCCAGTAGCAGGAAGAGTGTGTTGAGTTAATTCAGGAGCAGGGCTGCACAATGCATATTTCCTCTGGGGCATGTGGTGGTAGAGGGCAGGATGAGTGTCGGAAGTAAGGAGAGAGGAAGAGAGGGATGGGGGTGTGAATTGAAGTGAAGTGAAGGAAGGAGAGAAAAAAGGGGGATGGCAGAAAAATGGAGGAGGAGATGGTGAAGGAGAGTAGGTTTTTTTTTTTTTTTTTGGCTGCACCCCCCACACACACACACTTTTTTTTTTTTTTTTATGTCAGTCAAGCTGTGTATGGGCTGTCCTCCAAACATACCCGGACATATATACACATACACACATTCCAAACAGAAATCAATCGTAGAGCAAACTCAGTCACCCCTACCCTGCCCTTTGAACCCCTCGCACACCTCTAAAAAACACCACTTATATTTTGCACTAAAAAAATACACTTTCACTCCTTGCACGTCTATGCTCTTGTAATCAAAACCAACTATTGTTTCACCGCAAATAGTTCTCTTAAAAAGTTTCATTCAAAAAGAAACCTAAAATGACTTTAAAACTATTTTTCCAAGAGCCGAAGACAAAAAGTCCCTCCCTTTTCCCCAAAAGGTGCCCTTTCTCACCAGCGTGTCCAGCGTGGTTTTCCTTCCAGCTGTGTGGAGATCAGGTGTTGGAGTGAGTCAGTTCCAAAGCAGCCCCTCCTCTCTCTCTCTTTCTCCTTCCCTGTCTTTCTTTCTTCAGGCCCCCTTCTCGCCTTCAGAGATGCCTGTCCTCTGTTTCCAGACTAACTCCAGCTAGAGCTGTGTCAGTGTGCATGTGCGTGCAGCCGTGAGTGCATGTGTGTTGTTGTGAGGTGGAGCATGTGTGTGTCGGGCCGCAGCACGTCTGAGTTAACTGCTCCTCTCTTCTTGCTGGCACTCAATGACACGGCTCTCTCTCTCTCATCCTCCACTGATCTGCTTTCCCACTGAGAGGAGAGAGAGAGAGAGAGAGAGAGAGAGAGAGCAGGAGGGGAAAGGGTTGTCCCTGTCTTATTACCAGCTCTCCATGCCTGATGCTTCTTCACTCCAGACCTCAGTGGGATTGAGCCACTCTCTAATACATGCACTCTCTCTCTCTCTCTCTCTCTCTCTCTCTCTCTCTCTCTCTCTCTCTCTCTCTCTCTCTCTCTCTCTCTCTCTAACACACACACACACACACACACACACAGAGAGAACTGGCCCATTCACACAACTATTCCAAGCAAATAATGCATTTGTCAATACAATTGGACAAGCTCCAACTTCTATAATAACCTCAATGCTAAACGAAAAGCCGTTTCTCAGCCTTCCAATTGCACTTTATTTTATTTTTCTTTATTTTGTTTTTACTCTTGACAGTCAGGAAACACACAATATGTAAAAAATTGTGAAATTATATATATAAAAAACATTTGAAAAATAACTAAATGTATAAATAAGTATATATATATATATATATATATATATATTGCATCACTATGTATTGTGTCTCCACGTCTACTTTCACACCATCTGGATTTAAAGTAGAATGTGTCACTAAAAGTACACGAGAGGCAGGTATTTCAAGCTGGTCACACAACCATTTGATTTTTATTACAAAGTCTGAGTCCTTTGTCTGTTTTTCTCTCCCCTAGTATTAAACAGCTCAAGCTAATGGTTCTATGCAATCATTCCACGCCCCCCCCCCCACCCCCCTCCAGTGAATGAGCGCACACACACAACGTCTTGTGGAGTAGTGCGGCAGAGCACATAATCATACATACTCTCCCACTCACAAACACACACACACACACACACACATGCACGGAAACCTCGAGTGGATGCTTTCAGATTTTAATTAAGAAAAAAATGAGGAAGAGGCTCCATTTTTGCCAAATTGGTCCCCGCAGCAGACAGTCTCACAAAGGTGGGGAAGAGAAAGAAAGCCCTAACATATGCACTTACAATAAGTGGTGGCATCTCTTCCTCATTGTACATGCCAAAACATTTTATATGAGAAAAATGTTGTGTAATGAAGCTATTTTTTGTTATTATTGCGGGGTTTTTTTTCCTCATACTTTTTTCCTCCAGCACTTCTCCTGACGTCAGCTGTTAAAATTATAGTCTTTGACAATGCGAGTATGTCTGAAGAAGATGTCACCGTAATCTCCCTTCTATGAGAAAGAAAGAAAGGGAATTAACTTTTCTCCCTTCCGCTACTTTAAATGGCTTCTCGTATGTAGAAAGCCACTTCAAATTTTGTGGCAATTTAAAGGAGACAGCTGTTACTGTCCATTAAAAGCCTCTGTACAGCACTAATGACAGCTCTGGCTAACCTTTACCTGAGTAATCTGCACAGCATTTTGTCTGATCAAATCGTGTCGTCTTCTTCTTTTTCTTTTAGATTGAATAAAAAAAGGCAAGAGGAATGGTGGCAGCTGCAATGAGAACTTAATATGCTGTTTTGTTTCTTTTCCTCACCTCCTCTCTCTTTCTCTCTCTCTCTCTCTCTCTCAAGCAAAGAGTGCCTTCGCAGTAACCAAAGATGTAAAGCCTGCACATCTTTACAAGCAAATGGACACTAATGAGAGATGCTTAGAGCCCATTGTCACACACTTGTCCCCTCCATTTCATCTGCTCTCATAGACATTTTCAGGCTATTTCTAAATTGCCATGAATTGTTGTTTCTGAAAACAACACACACACACACACACACACACACACACACACATATATATATATATATATTCTACCATTTATATATTAAACAACTCTAAATTCCAAGGAAATTGTTTCTTTATTTAGTCTCCATGGTCACATCTACCATCTCAAATTCTCTTCCCCTCTTCTCTTTCTCTCTTGAATGTGCTGGTCTCTTGATTTTCCAAGTGCAACTGAGTGTTTCAAGTCAAGCTGGCAGATCAGCTTCTGACCTCCCTATTAATAGTTGTTATTTGTGAGAGGTTTTAGAGGACTATGACAATATCCTTTCCCCTTTTTGCGTGCTGTCCTTTTCTTTCATTTGGTCCTGTCCTCATTCTCTCTCTCGGGAGTAAGGGTGAGCTCAGATCCTGTCATCGGTAGTAGCAGCACTGGTAGTCAAGAAAGCAGAGAGCCACAGTAATGGACTTCTTTATTAAAACTATTATTCTGCAAGACTTCAAATTCCCCCCAGACTACGGCCATGTCGAAGCTGATATAATTAACTAGAAGCTCAGCTACGGATCAATTACCAGACAAGCAAGTGATAGCCAAATCAATGAAAGATCATCAGCCACATTATCTGTGTTGCAACTCATTAGAGTAAAAGAGAAGAGAGCATGCTGGGAGTCCTGGGGCTGTGGCACTGCGGCAGCACAGAGGGCATTGACTTTTCCTTAGCGACCCATGTCAGTTTTTGTGTTGCGTCTGTGACATTTTTGCAGATGTCATAAAAAGTGTCTTTATTTCTCAAGGGTACTCAATATGGTTATTAAGGAACTAAAAAGTGGTGAAAAGTGGACATAACGTCTTTTTGCAAATGACTTGAAATTGATAATAAACTTTGCCTACACAGAGGGAAAGCTGGTAAACAACAGAGAGAGAGAGAGAGAGAGAGAAATCGTTATCTGACAAGTGAATGGCAAAGTAAACCCTAATTAATTATTCATGAGGTGACATGATGATTTTTGTTCCTGTAGAGGAAGGTACTAGCAAAATCAAGTTCATAGGAGGGAATGCATGAACTGATCGTATAGCTTGAATCTTAAGTGACACAAGATAGTAAAAAATGCACCTGTCAAACATAAATATAAATGTAATGTTTTTTATGGTGCTGTATTTTATTTACTGTTTTATTATTATTATTTAAAGCTGCAGTCCGCAGTTTTTCCTCTGTCGCCATCTCTGTTCGAAATCTGCAGTTCCAGTCATTCGAGGAATTATCAACTGTACGTGAGTTGTACTTCAACACGGCACAGCACGGATGACCACAATGTTTGAGGAGAGTGCGCAGCTGTCAATCATCGGGCCGATGTGGATACAGGCATTCAGAATCACAGATTATTGTTTTTGGAAGTATGACCAACATAACAATTCGGAAAATGTCATCTGAACTTGCAAGAAACATGCACTTTTGTTATGGTTCTGACATTGCAGTAAATCGAGCTGATTAAATGTAAAAATTGCTTATCATATCACGAAAAACTGTGCAAATTATACTAATTATATGAGCTAAGGCAAGCAGATAGTTTTGAAGACTGGCTGGTTATGTCTTTTCTCAAATATGTATTTTGGATAATTTTTAACACCAAAAAAGCTACGGACTGCAGCTTTACAATGATTTAAATTATTTAATTTGAATTCATTTGATTTTAGATTTCTTCCTTACATTCTCTGTTTTAGGTGTGTAATGTCAAATAAATGTAATTTAATTAAAACTGATATTGACATAATCTACTGTATGTTAGTTACTGTACCTAATTATAATCTATTTGATGTTCAGGTTTTTTTTTTTTTTTTTTCTGACAAAATACAGTCTTGCATTCTATATTGTGTTCCAGGATTTGGCCTGTTTTGGCCAAGATGGAAAGAAAGACTAAGAATAAAAAATGAAAAATAAAAAAGGTAGGTAGATCAGGTAGATCTCCTGTTCACAGGAATTGAGTGTGCATCTGAATTGACTGATTCTAATCTAAGCTGCTTTGATACAATCTGTATTGTGAAAAAGCGCTATATAAATAAATGTGACTTGACTTGACTTGACTTAATTTCTCGCCAGCACAATGATGCCCACTTAACGGCTGAGATAAGGTTTTCTATACGCTTTGTCCTCACCTCTCTGAGCCCTTATTAAAATTAGGGTTCACTTTTAAAACACTTGCCATAGTGCCATTTTCACATTTAATCCACGGTGGAAAGGTGTCCAGTTAATTTAAGATGGTGAGGTAAATCTGTTAAATAAACAATGTCTGCGAGGAGATAAGGATTAGAGGCCATCTTGTCTTACAGACACATACTGTACACACAAGTGAATGAACGAGTGGGATATTAGTGCACTCTTCATGTGACTTGAAGACAGTGTGTCGATCAGATAGCAGCCAGATAGAGCTGTCACTGTTCTGTTCTGCTGGAAGACGCAAAGGGCCACAAGACATCATAAGACACCGTGAATAAACAACCTTTCACTTGTGTAGAGAATGAGAGAAAAAAAAGAGAATGTCCCCTGAACTCAAGAGCCACACATGATCCAAATGCCATCGATTGTGCAATCACTCAGTATTCCATGTATACCATTGCGACCAGCAAAAGCAAAGGACTAAGAGAGAAAGAAAACAAAGACATTCTCATGTTGGCCCACTTAAAAAAAATAATCACTCATAGAGCATGTCTATGTTACAGTTTTAAATAGTTAAATAGAAAATAAACTTCAACCTGCCTCACTTCTACTCATGATACATATGAACTGCCAATTGATTGAATTGTATTACGCATTTAACCTGACTACGTCAAGCCGCCTTTCCACTGCACACGACAAACGACCGCCGTCGGACCGGAAGTCATTCATTTCCAATGGAGAGTCGTACGGGAACTGCGGGGAGTTCCCGTACGACTCCGTTGAAATATCTGAACTTCTGCGGCTAGACCGTATGCGACCGGCCAACCGGAAGTGATGTATTCTAATAAAAACTATGAGCGCGAGGCTAGAATTACCAATATTTTAACTCTTTAATGTTGTTCTGTAAACGCTCGCTCTGTAAAATGTTGTTTATAATTAACTATAGCAGAAAAAAATATTTTATAATTATTAAACCAATATTTGTACTACTATATTTTTATTGGAGATGAATTGAAGGTCATTTGTTTTGTGTAGATATATTCAAGCATGCATTACATTTATTAAAATCATTAATTTTACCATTGTGAATATCCTAGGGTAACGGTTGCTTCACGACCAATTTCAAAGTTCCGTGCGACTGGCACTAGGGGG